TCTTTCCCTCGAGTTCTCACAATTAAGATCTCTAAGCATTCAAAATCTTGGCTTTGTATAGTAAGATATGCAAATCCGCATCAACATTTTCAACTAGCCTTGTGGGATTATTTGACCTCTACTCAATCTTCTATCTCTCTCCCATGGATACTAATTGGTGACTTTAATGAAGTATGCAAATCTTCAGAAGCTTGTGGGGGAAAATTCTCTCTAGCGGAAGCATCACATTTTTGCAATACAATCTTCTAGATTTGGGTGCAAATAGAAATCAATTTACATGGACTCTTAGACAAACTGGAACCTTCATCAGTAAAAGATTGGATAGAGCTCTAGTCAATCATGCATGGAGAATGGCTCTTTTAAAAGCCTTTACTAAAGTGCTTTGTTGGGCTTACTTTGATCATTATCTTATTTATATCAGGTTTGGGAGTGTTCTAGACTCCTTTACAAAATAGTTCATTTTTCTTATAAGTAGTTTGGACTACGCATGGTGGTTTTAAAATAACTATTGGCGATTCTTGGTGTAAGGGATCCCCAAATGTTAGTTAATGTTTGAAAAAAAAGTTTAGGGGGAGTTTCATTCCAAGCAAGAGCATTGTGGATAACACCATACTTGCTTAAAAAAATGTTCATTGTATTCATAATTTGTAGGTGAAGAAGGGTATTCTTGCTCTGAAAATCAACCTAAAGAAGACTTATGATCTCCTTAGTTGGGATTTCCTCAAAATTACTCTAAGACAAATCGAGTTTCCATGTGTTATTATTTGGCTTATCATTTGAGGTAGTAACAAGATCCACTCTATCCATCCTTTGGAATGGATATAGTATAGATAACTTCACATTAGTTAGGGGATTAAGGTAGAATGATCCTTTATCACCTCATCTGTTTGTTCTGTAAATGGAAAGGTTGGTCTTGTGGATCATGAACTTAATTTTGATAATAGTTAAACTTAATAGTTGGACTTTTAAGTTAGCGGAAGGAAAATTTTCAATTTTCTTTTCGAACTGGTTGGTGGTGGGCTCCCTCACATGATGCTCCCTTTGTCAACATTTCGATACTTAATTGAGTAATAAGGAATTATGGTTGGATGGAAATTATAACCTAAAACATATGTTTACTATCATCTCGGATGATGTGCAAAGTATGATTCTTAACATAGTTATCTATTGTGTTTTCATTCGAGAGGATGAATTTGTGTGGTCAAGTGATAAATTTGGTTTGTATTTAGCAAAACTTGGTTATCCGTGGTTACCAAATTTGGAGAACTACTATCCAAATTCGATTTGGAAGAGGATATGGGTTGTATTGTTGCTTGAGAAACTACGTTTTTTATTTTGGCAAATTGAGCATGATATTTTGTTGACTAGTTTGAATAGGTTTAAATGCCACCTTTATGAGTCAAGTAACTGCTCTCATTGTTCAGCACATATCGAGGATGTTTTCCATATGTTATGAGGTTGTCTCCATCCTCATTATTTATGGACTCGAATTAAGATATCTTTCCATTCTAGTATGATTACTAGAAGTATTTTATTTTGGGTTAATACGATCCTATCTCATAGGAATAAGCAACTAATAGCCTTACTCTCTTGGTGGGTTTGTATTTGGCAAAATAACCATGTCTTTAGCGTTAATAGATAAGACGTTTATTATGTTTATAGGAGGATCTGTGAGTCATCCTTGAATTTCAACTTCTTTGACAAGACCTCGCGATCTTCTTCCTTAACTCCTTGGTGCGGGCCACAATTCTCATTCATCAAGATTAATGGGGATAAGAGTTATCTTCCTCATTCTGATAACTGTTGAGATTCATGGAGTGGTGAATCAACTCAAACCTGGAGAATGAAGGTTTTGATGATAACAAAGTGTAGATCAAAGCTGACCAAGGACATCAACAAGTCAAAAACAAAGTCAAGAAGAAAATATGGTTATTATGTTGTGTAATAGGAGTAGCTCATAAGTTGTATTGTTTTGTTGAGCTTATTTTGCATGTGTGTGCTTTATGCATGGGTTAATCTTTATCTAATCTGATTAAGAGTGAGTATGATGATGAGTTAGAAACTTGAAAAGTTATTTTGAGACATAAAATAGAGTTTTTGAAGTAGTTTGTGAATCAGATAATTTAACTTTAATTAACATCTTGAACTATTAGTGTATCGAGGAGATGATTACACATGCTTATTGAGACATGATATTTGAAATCAAAGATATCTTGATGAGAGACTGAGACTGCATACGCATTCATTATCCATGGGAGGCAAATGTTGTGGCACACACTTTAGCAAGTGAAGCTCTCACTCCTTAAATTGGGATCAAATAAGGTTCACTCCTTTTGATGGTGTTCTAGTCACATATAGGAAGAATTTGCTCGCTATTTCTTAAGTTTTGATTATAGTTTATTTGCCCTTTATTTTCGTGTGTACAAAAAAAAATTATTTTATTATAATATTTTTCTCATATACTTTTTTATATATAAAATGAACAATCTATTATTTAATAAAAAAATCAAAATGGAATGTAAAATTTATCTTTAAAATCCAACAATTATCCCTCTGATCATTGTTATATTTACTTAAATATTTATTTAAAATCTTATTTTTTTGAATATATCATTTTATATTTATTTTATTTTATTTCATTTCAATTTCTTATCTCTTTACAAATATTAATTTATATTTATTTTGATATTTTAAAAAATCATCAATGTTTAAAACACAAAGTT